GGTTTAAAATATTAATACAATTAGGGAAATTATTATATAGATAACCACCTATGGAATTTCGGGACTTTGAGTATCTATCTGAACTGAGGGGACCGAGACGACTTCAACGATACCCTACTTTTGGACCGGAGACGAAAAATAATAAAGTTATCATACTTTTTCTGGTGATCGCGTGATATAATTGTGCAGTTAATGTTACCTATGGTGGGTAAAATGGCGGCTCGTCTCTGATTCCAGCAAAGAGAAGAAAGGAAACAGTGGGGATGCACGTTCAAACCTAACCTAACATAACCTATTCTAATAATTTGGGTGGTAATAATTGTGGTAATTTATTAGAATAGGTTAGGTTAGGTTAGAACGTGCATCCCCCACTGTTTCCTTTCTTCTGTTTGCTGGAATCAGAGACAAGCCACCATTTTACTCACCATAGGTAACATTAACTGCACAATTATATCATGCAATCACCAGAAAAAGTATGATAACTTTATTATTTTTCGTCTCCTGTCCAAAAGTAGGGTATCATTGAAGTCGTCTCGGTCCCCTCAGTTCAGATAGATACTCAAAGTCCCGAAATTCCATAGGTGGTTATCTATATAATAATTTCCCTAATTGTATTAATATTTTAAACCAAAAATGACTTCCAACAACTTAACACTTCGTTGAGTAGTAATAATCCACGAAAACCTTTCTGTACAAGTGTTATGTTCTTAACTACTCCACAAATGCTTTCAACCTCCAGTGAGCTCTGCTTCAGGTGGTGACTAACCGTGTTTCTTCCTGACCGTCGTAACGACGTCGCCAGAGATGTAAATAATCGTGCGCGTTGGGTTTCACCCGTCCGACTGTCCCTGTTCAAATTTCTCGAACAAATACCTCCAGTCTGCGTGATCATTTCACCATCTTTGTCGTATCAACCTGCATCAACAACAAAGATGGTGAAACAATCGTGCAGGCGTGGAGGTATTTGTTTGAGGAATTTGAACAGGGACAGTCGGAGGGGTGAAACCCGACGCGCACAATTATTTACATCTCTGGTGACGTCGTTACGACGATCAGGAAGAAACACGGTCAGTCACCACCTGAAGCAGACCTCGGTGGAGGTCGAAAGTGTTTGTGGAGTAGTTAAGAACATAACACTTGTACAGAAAGGTTTTCATGGATTATTATTTTAAGCCGTTTGATTTTTTGTATGTTTTTTAATTGGTTGATGATTGATTCTATCAACTAATTTGTTGATTGTTTGATTGTATTAACTTGATTCTTTAGATATCGAAAATTAAATTAAGAACATTATGTTAATTTAAGCATACAGAAACGTTGCTGTTGTTCCAGCAAAGATCTTATTTTCACTTTACCGAGTGTCTAGTAGGTAATTTGCAGATTACTTAGATAATCTGCACATTACTTAGGTAATTTGAGAAATAGAACAATTTTAGCAACTTTAATGGATCACCCTAGTTAATCTGTAGATTAGCTAGGTAATGTACAAATTAACAACTTTCGAGCTTTAGCGGTAACATATATATCAATTTCACAAAAATTTTAGGTTGTTATTCAAAAGTCATGTTTAAACTCACACAAATGCCGAAACTGTTTATCAACAGTAAAAACACACCAATCATATATATAAAATATTACAATTTGTTTGAGGTATATCTTCTGGAGCATAACTTTATATGGAGCAGAGACTTGGACCTTAAGGAAAAAGGAAACAAACTACCTTGAAGCATATGAAATGTGGTTATGGTGAAGAATGGAAAAAATCAAGTGGACAGAAAAGGTTAAGAATGAAGATGTTTTAAATTTGGTCCAGGAACAGTGATCTCTTTTAAAAACAATACAAAGAAGAAAAACTAACAGGCTAGGTCATATATTGCAAGGAGAAGGATTAATGCGAGTGGCATTAGAAGGAAAAATTGATGCAAGGAAACAAAGAGGAAGAAAAAGAAAAGTATTGATAAATGATGTTTTACTAGGCAAAACTTATAAAGAAATAAAAGAGGAAGCCCGAAATAGAGAATGTTGGAGAAGGAGAATTCTATAATTTGACTGCTTTCCACGGACCTGTCCTAGGACAGAACACCCATGAATGAATGAATGAATGAATATCTTCTTTCTTGTTTATGTTCAGTTTATAATATTTTTCTATAAACCACTTAATCCGACTCAGCCTCTTATGCAAAATATTAGATACATCCAACACACCCTATTTGCTGAGAAACATATATTTATTACACAAAACGTTAGTTTTGTGTAATAAATATATGGCTTAAAACTTAACCTGGAGCAAATTAGTAACAAGGAGCTGCACTTCCTGGACGTCAGCATTGAATTTAAGAATGGAGCTTTATGTACAAAGATCTACATTAAGCCCACGCATGATCCTATGTATATTCCGGCAAATTCTAATGACCCAACAGTTTATAAGCTGTCCGCATTTAGAGCGCTAATCAGAAGAGCGTTTCTCTATTGCTCAAATGTAATAGACACCATGAATGAGTTGTGTAGGATCAAAAAAGTTGCAAAGGAGTTAGGGTTTGGAGTAAGATCTATAGAACGTTTAATAGAAGCGTACGTAAAACCTAANGAAATACATCGCCTGTGTTTTTGTTTCGAGAATATGGATGCATGCATCCGATTAGCCGGCCTTATAGATGGAATGGCCATACGCGCGCGGGGAAATAATGCCTTCCGGGAGGTCTTTTAAGGGAAATTGGCCCTATTCAAGCGTTACAGACATGGAAAAACAGGGAAAACTCCACGTGGCCAACCCGTCCGAGCGAGGCGCGAACCCACGACCGAACTCCGAGCGTGGGCCCACCAGTGGCCGAGCGGTCTTCGTCCCCGAACTTTGAGTGGACTAGACCCCCTGAACACTAAGAGTTCGGTCGTGGTTTGCTGCCTCGCACGGACGGGCTGGCAGCATGGAGTTTTCCGGGTTTTCTCCATGTCGATGACGCTGCACGCTAAACGCGATTACTCCGGAGTCCGAACACGCACATTTGCTTGAATCAGTTTGTTCGCTCTGCTTGGAAGCGCGTTTACGCTCGCGGTCGCTGGACACCACCACGTAGAACGTACCCTAACGTGTTCATTTTATAAACTTTCGTGAATATGGCTTTTCATGGAACGGTGAATTTTAACCTGTGTCAGAGCATATATGAAATGTTCTGTTTTTTAAAATTTTTTTGTAATTTATTCAATTTATAGAATAGATCTCTTACTTGAAGAAGATCTATTCTTCTTCAATTACTTGAAGAAGAATAGATCTTTGTCTTTGGCTATATTCATAAATATAAGTCAAAGTAAGTCTTTGGCTATATTCATAAATAAATTAGATCTCTTACTTGAAGAAGATCTATTCTTCTTCAAGTAATTGAAGAAGAATAGATCTTTGTCTTTGGCTATATTCATAAATATAGCCAAAAACACTTGTCTTTAAAATTTCCATGCTGGAGTACAAACAATTGGTGTATTTTTACTTTTAAAAGTCATGTTCCTTTCCTGCATGGTATATACAGTACATGTATAACATATATAGAAAAATAATTTAAGTAACTTACTCTGTTTCTTCAATAGGATGACTCAATGCAAGAAAAATGCAATTTATTAAAATTATAGTCACAACAAAATAATCAAAATATCTGAAAGATAAAAAAATAAATAAATTCATAAAATATTTTTATTTTCTTTGAAATAATAATTAGGTAATGAAATAAGAAAGATATAGATATATAGTGTGCAATGAATTATTAAACTATTTATGTAAATATTAAAATTATTTTACTAATGATTTGAATATATTTTACATATACCAATGATTTCCAACTTACTTTAATCATGGAAATCTTTTCACCTTGATAAAAAGTTTCAAAACCTGACAATTTTTACTGATTATAAAGAAAATAACAAACCTAAACATCAAGAATAATTTATTTATCATATATTAAAAAAAAACAGATTAATAATGAAAAAGCAAACAATATTAATTCAAAGGTAATTTTGTCAGCAGATATTATGAGAATCAAATGCATTTTTTTTTTTATTTTCTTTTGGAAAATGTAAAATGAATGCTCAAGTATTTCAATATTGCCACTTCCTGGGAAATAGTTTCTCCTGTAGGAAAGAACACTTGTATTTGATTCTTTGCATTTATAAAATAATGGGAAAGAATCAAATATTCTCATCATTAGACTCAATGGATTTCATTTTCCACAAATGTGAGCCAAGCAGACTGTGCATAGGTCACCTTTTCTTATGAAATATTAATAATTTTTGAAACTGTATTTAAATAAATTTTTTATACATATTTTACACTATTAATTAAAGCTCAAAAATTTATTTTATTATGGAGTTTTAGATTTCATCAGTGGAACTCTAAAGTTCAGGAAACACAAGTTAGGGACCGCTGTTATATGCAGTATATCATCAATCATTCTAAAATACATGTATTTAAATTAATCATTAAAAACTAATGATTATTATTATATCAATTATTAATGCTGAAATCATAAAAACATATATATACCTGTGTGTAAAAAATGTTATGCAAAAACGACGAACTGGATTCCATGGGAAAAAATAAAACAATGATGGATCTGCATTAAATCTATACAAATAGCATCTAGTACTTCTATGTGACACGACATAAAATATCTGCAATTTTAATATTTTTGTTTGTAAATAAAATTTAAATAAAGAAAATAAGCACATCTGTTATAAAAGTTTCACCTTTTCTAAACCTGCTTTATCGACTTCTTCCAACGGGATACCCATCAGTTGCGAAGGTATTGAATGAGGAAGAATGCAAAGTTCTTCGCATTCTGGAAGGGAAGTTTTTCTTTCGGGTATGAATGAAAATTCACGCAAAGCTTTTTGTCTTCTTTTAGTTTGTTTGTCAAATGATTCTTTTGTGTAAGGTTGAAGACGAACATTATTAGGTAAACGAATGTAAGAAATTGTTTCTAGAAATGTTCGACGTCTAATAGGTTCCATGTGCTGGATGGTGCCGAACGAGACAAGAAAATGTTTATATTTAGATATCTCCCGCCGAGTTGAATCACAAATACTGTACATAACTACTAGAATTGGAAATTTGCCATAAATTCATTCGTCGAAACATATTCATTTAAGTTATGTTTTAACTTTTATATTAGTTAAAAGTTGAAGTATTTAAACTATATAAATAAATGAATAACATCTTTCAAGAAATACTCCAACTTTATTCTAAATAATATTTTCAACTAGAATGCCGACTTCAGTTTAGCCCATTACTGGCGAATATGTCAACAACTAAGGATACGATATTGAAAGATATCGATGAAAGACATAGCGGAAGAAAATATCGATATTTTATTCGATGATCATCTGTCACGGGTGGCCGAGAGGTTAAAATGGTAGCTTATCGCTCTAGGGAGATGTTTTTCAACTGCCGGTTCGCGAAAAATTTCACTGGTTCATAGAAAAATATTTGATTTTAATGATGCTGGTGCAATTTATCCTATTCTTCTATCCGGATTCATAGCACTGTTGCCTCTTTCTCCGAAATACATCGCCTGTGTTTTTGTTTCGAGAATATGGATGCATGCATCCGATTAGCCGGCCTTATAGATGGAATGGCCATACGCGCGCGGGGAAATAATGCCTTCCGGGAGGTCTTTTAAGGGAAATTGGCCCTATTCAAGCGTTACAGACATGGAAAAACAGGGAAAACTCCACGTGGCCAACCCGTCCGAGCGAGGCGCGAACCCACGACCGAACTCCGAGCGTGGGCCCACCAGTGGCCGAGCGGTCTTCGTCCCCGAACTTTGAGTGGACTAGACCCCCTGAACACTAAGAGTTCGGTCGTGGTTTGCTGCCTCGCACGGACGGGCTGGCAGCATGGAGTTTTCCGGGTTTTCTCCATGTCGATGACGCTGCACGCTAAACGCGATTACTCCGGAGTCCGAACACGCACATTTGCTTGAATCAGTTTGTTCGCTCTGCTTGGAAGCGCGTTTACGCTCGCGGTCGCTGGACACCACCACGTAGAACGTACCCTAACGTGTTCATTTTATAAACTTTCGTGAATATGGCTTTTCATGGAACGGTGAAATTATTCAGGATTTGGATTAAATAAAAATGTTCCAAGAGTTTTTTGCTAATGATAAAATTAGTTTTGAGATTTTAAATATACAGTATATATATATTTAATTAGAATTCATAATTATTTGTTAGTTGATACCAGAATTTTCTAACGACAAAGTAAATTTTTATTTAACAAAGAAAAATTACAACTTTATCCTTTTCTATTAAACTACCATTACTGCTTCTCTTGCAGCGTTCTCTGTTGCAGTTAGTTTCTTTACTAAAGAATTCCGTATAAATTCTATTTATTATAAATTTTATTCTATTAAATTTTATTTCAAAAGAAAAATCGAAGTTTTTAAATCTTGAATTTAAAAACGTGTATTTTTTTTTCTTAGAGACTTACTTTACATGTTCTTGGGGAAAATTTTACTTCAGAAATATGTTTGTTCGTAGCGCGCACGATTTGGCCCCCCATTTTTCCAAGAGGGGAGCAAAAAATATAATCTTTCATAAGGCACATAAAAAGCTAGTTATGGCACTGATTAAATACCAAATTAAAACTGTAATAGATTATAGTAAAAAAGCAAGTACTGTAGTTAATATATTTAAAACTATTTTAGCATCACATCCTTTAGTCTAACGCGACAGTTCCCAACTTATTTTTATCGCGGAACCCTTTTCACCAAGTAAAAAATGTTGGAACGCTGACAATTTTTAATGATTATAGATAATACAAAATAGAAACACCAAAAACAATTTATTGAAAATACAAAACACGAAAAAAGATCAGATAAGTAATATTCTTTCTATTATTAAATTCAAACTGATCATTAAGGTAAAGGGTTAAACTTTTTTTTTTTTCAATATTTTAAACAGCACCAGTGCCTGGATTTGTACCTTCGTTGGTATTAATCTTTTCAGTCCTCTTGTCACTAAAAACATTTGAAGTACAGTACTTGCTACATGTTTCTTCAAAAATCTCTCGGCCATCGCTCACGGATTTTTTAATTAGGGGCATACACAATACTAAATTTCTACGATTTCCACTATATTTATATGAAAAATACTTACTAGAAGTTTTCCAGTACTTCTATGTGACACGACATAAAATATCTGCAANCTAGTTATGGCACTGATTAAATACCAAATTAAAACTGTAATAGATTATAGTAAAAAAGCAAGTACTGTAGTTAATATATTTAAAACTATTTTAGCATCACATCCTTTAGTCTAACGCGACAGTTCCCAACTTATTTTTATCGCGGAACCCTTTTCACCAAGTAAAAAATGTTGGAACGCTGACAATTTTTAATGATTATAGATAATACAAAATAGAAACACCAAAAACAATTTATTGAAAATACAAAACACGAAAAAAGATCAGATAAGTAATATTCTTTCTATTATTAAATTCAAACTGATCATTAAGGTAAAGGGTTAAACTTTTTTTTTTTTCAATATTTTAAACAGCACCAGTGCCTGGATTTGTACCTTCGTTGGTATTAATCTTTTCAGTCCTCTTGTCACTAAAAACATTTGAAGTACAGTACTTGCTACATGTTTCTTCAAAAATCTCTCGGCCATCGCTCACGGATTTTTTAATTAGGGGCATACACAATACTAAATTTCTACGATTTCCACTATATTTATATGAAAAATACTTACTAGAAGTTTGACAATGGTGTTTGGAATGTTGGTGGAATCAAGAATATTTAACGATTGTATTATCTTATATATATATATATATATATAATAAATGAAGATGAAGGTTTGTTCGCTATACATTCCTAGGCCATTCGACCAATTGCTACGAAACTCGGCAGTTACGTTCACATACTTCTTAGATAATGTGCATTCCAAACCTTAAATATCTATTGGATTTCTGTAAATCAATTAATTTCTATTTACGTTCGCTTTGCTTATTTACACACAGCATGATTTACTACTGGCAAAAATTTTAACAAAGTAATAAACTGAATATAATTCTTATAAAATATCTTAATTCTAAATCTGTCTTTATACACTGATTCGAAATTCTCTATATTCCTAATACTTCGGGACTAAGATTTTACTCAGGAGTTACCATGTTTTCAATTTAGCAATTTAAAAAAAATCCCAGGACAGATTTATTTTTGTTACAAAATGTTATCTTTACAGATTTCTGCACACTGGAAAATCTAGAAATAGTTTTGTATGTATCGTAATGATATTACTCGTCGTTAGAGAGCGCTATAAAGTAGAGAAAAATATGTAAATTTAAATTTCTCAAAAAATAAAAAATTTCAAAAGACGTTCTTCTAAAAGTCTTATTGTGTCGACTTAAGCCTGGACTCCACATTACCGGAATCCGCGACGTAATCGTAAAACTGAAAGCCAAACTGACGAAACTTTCAGTTTTGTAATGTTCAGTTGGACAGAAACAAGACTGAAAGCAGAGTTAAAAATTATTTAACTTTTCCGTTTTCGTTCCACGCTTCTGTCGTACTGCAACCAATAAAAACGCAAGGATTTGTGACGCTTAGTCACGTGTAGTTTGATTGTTATAATGGCAGAAAGTGTAGCGAAAACGATGAGGAAACAAATAGATTTGTAATTCTTCGTCGAAGTTAGAAAATACAGATGTCTGTACGACAAAAATGTAAATAATTCAAAGATTAACAATTTCATTGTTAATTAATTAATAAATGCAGAGAAATCATGGCAAAATCCGTAGCGTCGTCCATGTTTGACTCTACGACAATTATAGAACTGATCAACAGATGGTTCATTTCTAGTGGAGTCAAGTTAAAACGAAAACTCTATATATTTCAGTTGTTTCTGAGTTTGTTTTCAGATAATGTGTAGTCCAGGCTTATCGAAGTATACGAACTTCCGGTTTTGGAAGTTCGTATACTTCCAAAACCGGTAGGAGGCACGGATTAAGTATATACGAACTTCCGGTTTTGGAAGTTCGTATATACCACAGCCTACAATAAGAACAGCCTAGTCAAATGGTGGAAATCCCATTGTAGTGTTGTGTCCAAACGAAAATATTTTCTCTCGCAAGATGGAGCCACACAACGGACCATAACAACACACACCGATTAAGTTATCCTAGCTACATGCTATCATATATTCGTAACACAAAACAGTAATTCAAACTTAGGATATAGCAAATTATTGATTTTTTTAAATTAAGATTTTGCCCGGATTTCTGCAGATCTATCTAAAACAATAGACATACAAGGTATTATCAATAATTATCTAAACGGTTAAATGCAATAACAATTAATAGGGTAGATGTACTGTACCTTTTTCTGGCCACATTAAGACAATTTTCAACTTTAAAAAATATTTTCATATTCTTACAATTTTTTAAACCAACGAAACATAGTAAAAATAATGCAAAAACATGTTCTCTTTACCTTATTACATTAATTTTTATTAATTTTAACATTTTATAAACAAAATTTAAATTTTTTTAAATATTACAAAAATCACCATTTTTCATCATGCCTGTACCAGTTGTGGCTAATGCAAGTAAAATTATTAAAACTATTTTTCGAGAATATTTTTTGATATAATTAACATAAAGAATGATATACAAGGTCTGTTCAAAAAGTATCGGACCTTTGGTCGCAAAAATAAATTTATTGACTTTGAGGTACAAAACCCTCATCCCCTTCAAAGTAGTTTCCTTGGTAATGTATACACTTCTCCCAGCGTTCCTGCCATTGCTGGAAACACTGCTGGAACGCATCTTTTGGAATGGTTATCAGCCGGTCCGTCGCATTTCGCATGTTGTCTTCTCTCGACTAAATTTGGGTTCCTTTTAGCGGCATTTACAGCTTGAGAAATAGCCAAAGGTCACACGGAGCCATGTGGAGAGAGTACGGAGCGTGACAAACCACAGGAGTATTGTGTTTGGCGACGAAAGCCCGAATCAGATGCGCAGAATGGGCGGATGCGTTATCAAGATGGAGCTGCCAAGTTTTGATCGACCACAGATCCCATCGTTGGCATCGCACTGTATCGGAAAGACGACGAAGGACCTCCTGGTAGTACTCCTTTGGGATGGTTTGGCCTTGTGGTGCGTACTCACGACACACCACCCCACGAGAGTCGAAAAAACTGTCAACATGACCTTTGATATTGCTACGGACCTGCCGCGCTTTTTTTGGCCTCGAGGATCGTCCCCGAAAGCCTGCTGAATCTTGTGAATGGTTTACACTCGGGTATCGCCAAGGTTTTTGCCAAAATTTATGTAATATCGCTGCTCACGTTGTTCAGTCATTTTCCAGCTTAGTGAAATCTGACGAGAGCGCACTACATGACCTCACTCATACGCCGATTGCCAACGACTGACGCTTTCTGCAGGCGGGAAAAAATTCAGGTCTGTGCATGACTGTCCCCTCCACAACTCCACCGAAGGAGGCCTCTCTCGCATCATTGGTTTACGCGGAAAAAAATAAGGTCCGATACTTTTTGAACAGACCTTGTATAGTCAATAGCCTCTGAATATTATTCTAGCTTTTATACTAGTGAAATGACCAAGAAAAAATATTTTGTAGTTTTATATCCACCGAGTCTATTTTATATCATCGATATTATTTTATCCATAGCAGACTTAACTTATAGAAAAAATATTACTGCCACAGCAAATTGTTGTATAGCTTACTTATAAAACTATTTATTTTTATTTGACTGGAAAAAAGTACAATCCTAATATAAGTATAATGCCCTAATAATGCATATGGAAAGAATCCACATGGTGGCCAAAACTAGTACATCATTTTTGGCCACCCCTGTGGCCATAACTGGTGCATCATGAAATATTTTGATCCTTGTGGCCATGACTGTTTTTAAATATAATAAACTAAATAACTTTAAAAAAATTCTCACACTTCCTAAAGTTTCCTATGTTAGCATAAAACAAAATTTGTACAACTGAATTATATATTTATTAAAATATAAGCTGATATTTATCTCTTGGTTCCTAATGAATTAACATATAAAATCAATTCAAATTTGTATTACCAAAATTAATCTATTATATTTAGTCTTCTTCTTTAAATATAGCATATACAGTAATTATCAAAATAATACAAAAATTTATAGAGGTGCCACTTTTATTATTTTCTGTGATAAAGATTTACTATTTCATCTTTTTTCGATTTATTTGATGTACAAAATCGCAGAGCAATGAACCATTTTAAAACGAATTTTTTAAAACTGAACAATATCTGGATATATAGATTTTAAAAATTTAAAATTTCGAAAATACTATCATAACAAGCACATCTTTGCAATAGTATTAGTATTGATCACTTGATTGAATAGTCCGGTCATCAGCGCTCCTAGTGAACAAAATGTGCAAACCGCCTCAGGCATCGACACACGTTTTTAGAGCAAATGACTAGGCTGTTCTTATTGTAGGCTGTG